ACACAGACAAACCCGTAACAATATGCGTTTTGTACTGCTGTTACACAGCACAAAACGCATAACAAACCCGTAACAATATGCGTTTTGTACTGCTGTTACACAGCACAAAACGCATAAAAACGCATAAAAATAAGCTCTTTTTGTTTAAATTTTTTATTTTTTGCAGAAATTTATTGGGGCCACCAAATGGGTGGATGTATTTGCAAGCGTAAAAGGGAATCATCAAGACGTGCTTGCGATCGAAGAATGCCTTCGAACAGCGATAGCGATCCACAAACTGGTGGTGATGGTACTGCATTGCAACGAGCAAATGGCGATGAATCACGATCCCCACGTAGACGGGTTGTAACTCGTAGTGCACGAACAGCTTCTCCACAGCAAACAAGTGGTAATTCTTACATATTCGAAATTTTTGAAGGCTTTTTTTTTGCAAATTTTTTTAGGTAATTTTTTTAGTGAAAGTTTTTGGTTATATTTTCTGGTTATTCAGTCCCCCATCTTAATTATGTTTCAAAATTCTTTTGCCACAGTCGTCGTACTGACGAGATCCATTTGTGGTAAAGATGGGAAATGTAGACGACTTAATGGACCGAAACATTTCTTACCTATTTTAATAATTCCTTGCATGCTTTTCATCGTTTCTACTCGCATTTTTTCTTTAACCCTAAATATGAAGATTTTTCACCTTCATACGAATCACTTGTGATGTTGCGGAAGTCCTTCGAAAAGCCGGCAAGAATTGATACTGTGTGCTGCATGCGATAGCAGCATCAGACAGTGTAGAGCGATATCCGTGCGAATGGGTTGTTTTATGGAACACAAGGACCAGTGTTGTAGTGGATAAGGCGTCATGATTCAAAGGATGCGGAGATATGAAATTGTGTGGTTCGATTCCTTCCCCGGTCCATAACCTTTTTGCAAAAAGTGTGGCTTCGTCCGCGATATTCGGTGTGATAATATAATATGGCCAAGGAGCGGCATCGTGCCGGACAAGTACTAATGTCCAGGGACATCGCAAGAAGGCATTGCCATGTATTTGTGCTAGAGAACCTGTTGAGCCCAGTTATTTCTCCAGGAGGGAAGATGAATGTCAGTCTTACCAGAAGGCTGGCCACCATCTATTACAGCATCGGTCAAAGCATTATTTTGATATTTTCTAATGGTTAAAAAATAATTATTACCATTCTATTTTATCATTAGTATTGCACATTCTTATGCATTTTTGCATATTATGCAAATTCAAAATCGCTTATTGACAAGAGGGGTGTTTTAGTGCACACTTGCGTGTTCTCACTTTTTGTGACCCAGTTTCAGCTCGAGAACCAGAAAAGCTAGAAAACTGAAACTTCGGGAGTATGCGCTCACCTCATGTGTAATCTTCCATTTGCGTACTGCTAGGTCACGCGTATGGGCACCTCGAGAAAATATACATATTTTTTCTACTACTGTTGTTGTTATTTTAATAATGGTAACTTTAATGATGATAATTATTATTTCTAATAATGTTATTGAAGTGATAATAATAACACTAAAGAGGCTCATGGGTTAACTGCTGGACTGTGGTAATAGTATAGCGAAATAACTTGGCGATTAGTCAAGTCTCAGTATTTTTTTTTTTAGTCGATGCTTGTGCAAGCGGTGATACCGAATTAGATATGCGTGAATTGGTACGACAAACAATGAAGATGATACGGTTTCTGGTTTCCAAGTAAATTGGTTTCATTTTTTTATCATTTATTCCAGTCTTTTTAATTATTTTTCAGAAATCGTCTTTAGATTTGATTCGACGGCTAATCATAGTAGGGCATTTTCACATGTGGCATTGGAACTGAAAACCTTCACGGAGCATGTGTTGCAGTGAACAGGATGCGCCAGCACCGTTGGCAAAGTTAAATTCGGTTGCGGAGGAGGAAGGTGGCTGGATTATGGTTATTATGTCCCTGATCGATGCGATACCGCTGGAAGAACCACTTGGCCCTGCTGTGATAACTTTATTCCTGGATGAAAGTCCATTGCCAACAAAGGTTAGTTGTTGATCAGGAGGAATGTTTTTCAGTACTTCGACCTACTTACGACTGCAGAATACCACTTCACAGCACCGACCTTCTCGTCAGTCCTACGTGGAACGACTAATTTTGGCTGGGCTTCTATGACCCTTTTTCTATTATTTTTGGATCAGCTGCGCTTCATAATTCGGTTCTCGGATTATGCACTTTGTTAATTTTCCATTTACTTTTACACTGATTGGCTGAACATTTGTTTTATTTTCTGAAGGGATTATCAACTCAGTGGTTCTTCTGACAGAAGTACTTGGCAAAGATTTAGGAAATAAGAAAGGAAAAATGTGAGGGAAACAGGGCTTACAACAGAAAACTCTTTGAAGAATATATCGGTTCTGTTGTTTGATTTAGAAATAACTGCGTACGTACGCCGATTTGATTTGTGTTTTTAATTGAGACTGAATTACCTACCACTTTAAAACATTGAACAGACGCTTTTTC